AGAGGTGAAGATAGCAGACAAACGGAGAAGGCAGAAGTGGTTAGGACGCTGCAGTAGAGAAGAGGACGCTCTGAAAGAGTGAAGCAGGAGACAGAGAAGAAAAATGCTGCAATATGGAAGAGAACACGGCAAAAGAGGAAAGAAGAGGAAAGAAGAGGAGAAGCTTCATAGGAGAAGAGAAAGTGGCAAAGCAGAAAAAAGGCGACGGCTTGAAAAGAAAAGAGGTGAAGATGGAAGACAAACGGAGAAGACAGACGTGGTTAGGACGCTGCAGGAGAGGAGAGTACGCTCTGAAAGAGTAAAGCAGGAGATAGAGAAGAAGAAAAATGCTACAATATGGAAGAGAACACGGCAGAAGAGGGAAGAAAAGGTGAAGTTTTATAGGAGAAGAGAAGGCGGTGAAACAGAAGTAAAGCAAAAATTTGAAAAGTAAGGGGAAGAAAAATGAAAGAAGAGACGAGGAGGGACGCTATAGAAGAATAGAGAAGGCAGCAATGGAAGCACCGGAAGCAGTAGCGGATTCACCGGACGTAACAGCGGCAGCTAGAGGAATAGGATAAGCTGTAAAAATGCTACAGCTGTAAAGGAGGCATAGGACGCAGCAGCGAAGATAGTCGATGGCAGGTTATAGTCTTTAATGGAGATTTATTTTTGAGATCTGTTTTAGGGTCAGCGAAGGAAGCGGGGATATTGCAGAATATAAGTGGACGCTACAGAACGGAAGAGGAAGCTGCGGAACAACAGAGGAGGCTGCAGAACAGAAGCGAATGCAGCTGAAGAGAACGTAGCAGAACAAGTGGACGTTGCAGAATCATCAATGGCAGCACAGGAGACAGTGGCAGTGGCATAAAAAAGAAGTATCTATTTCAATTTTATTTCAGTTTTTTTATTTTTCTCCTTTTTTAATACTTATTTGTGTGTGTTTCAGGAGTTCAGATGTATGGTATTTCCGCATATTATTAACATATGTATGTGCGTGTGTTTGTTTCAGATTAGAAAAATTTCGGACGCGGATGATCGTGTACACGAAGAGTTTATTGGTTCTTGTTTTGCTCTTGTTTTTCTTGTCTCTTGTATTGTCTTTGTCGTTTCGTTTGGTGGTGTTGCATTCGTTATTGGCTGTGCCAAGAAAGTATTGTTGAATAACAACGTTGGAATCATTTCTTAGTTTCTAGTTAGGGAGGATTTAAACTGTAAAGAACAATGGTATGTGCGAAATTCTGAAATGGATAAAAGTGCATTATTATTGCACTGAGGTTATATCTTAGCTTGTTATGTAGGTAGGTTGCAATGTGGAAACGATTGTTGAAAATGGTTTAGCTTCTAGTTAGGGAGGATTCAATGTACATTGAATGAAGGTTCGGAATTATTGATTTGTATCTTTAGCTTTTTAGTTAGGTAGGTTCGGTCACGTGACTGGAATATATGGTTCATTTTCTCTGAATTTGAAGGTAAAATGTTAATCATCGATGGATTTGTTCTGATTTTCTCACCGATGGGATTTGTGTGTTGTTTCCATTATGGATACTTTTTATCAGTATCATAATGGTTTTGCATATTGTTTCTATTATGGGATCCTTTTATCAGTACCATAATAGTTTTGTATGTTTTCAAGATTCATGCTGAGGTCTGTTCAAAATTAGTACCGTTTCCGGGTAGGCTAGCTGACATATCCATTTGTGTAACATTTATAGAACGTACATGGGTCGTACGTTGTGTAACTGTACAACAAATGGAATAATACTGAAAAAATGTATTATAGTACATTTGGTTGTATTATAGTATATTCTTTTATTTGCAAAAGGAAGGGCGGATGGGTGCGGATCGGGCGGGTCTTCAGTCGCGGCAACCTCCACGTGGTGAGACCTGGGCAATCATATTGATCATAATGTAATTACTAATCATTTATAGACGTTTAGTTATTCGTGGCTTTATATGTAAGCAAGGTATCATCGTATAATTTATTAATTATTTTATTATGAACAATATGAGCAAATGGCTGCGAGTTTTATATATGTAAATGCAATTTCGTCGTTCACATTTGCGGCATTTATGTAGTATCTAATTATTCCCGGTCGTCTTACTCAGTCAGTCAGTATAGTTCCATCGTAGAGTGCGCAACAAGGCAACTGGCGAAAATAAGGTTTTAAGTTACGTCGGTAATTCAGAACGTTCGGCTTCAACTCCCATCGGTTGATACGTCGACGAGAGACTACTTTTTTTTCGAGTGTGCAGTAAAAGTGTAAATTGTAGTGCTCAATAGTCTCTCATGTTAATTTCCCGGAAAATAGATAATTCTTTATTGGGTTCATTTCTCTGCTCACCATTAGATGTCGCAAGTGGTTGTCTTAGAATCTTCAATATCCAATTCAAATAAATAATCAAAATCCCATCATTTTTTATTTCGACTTTAAAACATTACTGATTGTTACGTAATTGTTGGATTAAATTTATTTACAATATGAAATCCTTTTTAAATGGAAGAAATTTCGTTTGATTCTGTAACAACCATTTAATACTAAAGATCCAGAACAATAATTTTATCAGTTAGTTCTAATAGTTATATTTTTATGTCTAAAAAAAAATTGCCTGCAATGATATTCTTGAAATCATCCGTGGTGTTCTTTCGCAATATCAACGGCGAGTAGGAAATGATTTTATCTAGTTTATACACGTTATCTGGATTCTTGTCAGATAACGAAACTGATATTTGTATTTGCAATCGAATGCATGTTTTTGACGATGAAAACGGAATCATCCGCTGAAAATACATCGCGTTGGAAGTTTAACTTGACTGTTATGATGATTATCGTTGTATTTCAAATTCAATATATTTCGATGAGAAATATTATATTAATAATGTGAGGCGTGAAATTGAAAGTTTAATTTAAAAAATTCAGTTTTATTTAGTATTAAAAGAAATTCGAAAATATTATCGATCATTAGTGTGTTAATTACTCGTGTCTTAATTACTCCAATGTATTTTTATAATCAGAAAGGATTATTTACAAACAGCTGCTCTCAGACAGTGGTTACAAGTATGGTGGATCGGCTTACAACAGCACAGCAACACCGCTTACAGTTTTTACGAATGGATACGTTACAGTATTTATTCGCAAATCATCGTTTGCTGTGCGAGCATTATTTAAGCTAGTTCCTCGGTTGTCATCGATATTCATAGGTCTAAAGCGTAATTTGATGTGACAAGTTCTACCAAGGGCTCCGTTTACTGTCAAATCAACTTTGACTCAACTGTCTTTACAGATTCTTTGCTAACTCTGCTTGTCCCTCAATGTCGTCAGAAAGTAGGATAACTTATCCGTTTCCTGTAACCGTATACCATAAACTAGGTGTAATTAAATTAATCACGAGGTCACATTTACTTAGAGGCGTTTAGTTATGCTATAAATTCAATTCATATAGGTTATCAATGATCCGTAATAATTAATCGAACAATTAAATTATTTAAAATGATTTAAAATATAATTCTATATATAAATTATAGTAAATAATTTACTATAACTTATACTTTACATATAAATTAAATGCAATTTAAAATATAAATGATGTAATGAAAATATGAAATTTGGATTAAATTAAGTATAAAAGGCAATCGAACATTCGTAACTGGAAATTTTATATGAGTCAGCCTTATATCTTGACTGTTTTTTAGAATCTTGTAAATCAGATTTCTTATCTGCAAATGAAGTAATACCTTCATTCAACGAGTATAAAAAAATTTATTGAATGTTATCATGTTTTTATGTCCTTTTATTTCGCTGATATAATAACTGTCTTTTTCATTTCATCATTATGTATGAAATATTATTTTGGGTCAAAACTGACCCGGTTTTAGCTGGGCAAGGATTAAAAATTCGTTCCTGCCGCAGATTGTTTAAAAAATTTTCACTCAGTCAATAAGTAAGAGATAATATAGATTGTAAGTTATTGTGAAAAGTAGATTGTCTGTTATCCTGATAAGCTTTTCTTCGTAATAGAAGAATGAGTCGTTTTTGGTTACAAGACGGCGAAACCGTCAATGAACTATGGATACTATATTTAAATGCTATTTGCGAACATAGGAAAGCAAAGTTCAATAATCTTAATATGATTCAGAACCTAGTCTCCGTGGAAACGAGATTTTATCATTTGATATCTTTATGTTAGGACTGCTAATACGGTGCAAACACATAATAAAATTAGTACTGTAGATATGTACACTCACGATTAAATTAGATTTCCGTAGGGAAAATGGCGATATAGGGAAAGCAAGATCTTTAAAATTTTAATTTTGATGATATTAATATTATATTAAAATAATTTAGAAAAAGAATAATATAATTTTTAAGTATTAAATATTATACAATTTAATATATATCAGAAATATGAGGGATAAATAAATATTAAGGGATAATAAAGAGGATAAATAAAAGACGAGAACTTCGGACATCATTTTTCCGAAGGAAGCCTGATTTGATTACGAGTGTACCTGTACGTGTAAATGACGTTTAACAGCTGTAATTATTTGAACAAGAATTCCATGGAAACTGCCTTAGAGGTACGGTAATCGTAAAAATATTGCCTCACCGTGTGATGTGGAAGACCGCATACTTATGCTGAATTATCGATTGGGTTTAGTACTTCTTTCCTATATTCATTTAAAAACTGGTATAACTAATTATCATTTCTGACGAATTCATAAAAATGATTGCATCAAGTTTTACCGGAAGTTAATTAATTGTAGATTTTTCATTAATTAAGAATGAATCGCAATTTTTCAAACGATGTTTTTATTTTTAACGCAATACAAATCAGAAGGACTACAATTTGATAAATTTCAAATTTTTCAATTTGATTGAAAAACGTGAAAAATATTGAAAAAAATTAAATGGTTCTAGTTCGATGTCCAGTGGCTATAGAAAAAACAAAGATTTCTTTTTAAAGAGGTTTCAATTACGTCTAGTTAAAAATTGTTAAATACGAATACTTTAGTGACTCACAGTAAATAGCCGATACTTGTAGATGAAAAAGAGAAATTGTTCAGCGTCGTCGACATGGCAGACAGCAATGTCATTGCCAGAGGATTCGCTACAGCCGTTGAAACTCGTCGTGTCCGGGAAGTTGGCCCATTAACTCTTAACATTCTCGCGTTAACGCCGTTTATTACGTAGGCGTAACGTAATACCTTCGCGTGGACTGTTTCATCGGGTCGCGCATACATATTTCTAATTGTAACCAGTTAACCCGGTAATATTCATTGAAAATTGTTACGCAACATAATCTATAAAATCCATCGATATCATCAAATTTTGGAATCCATCATTAACACGTTTACTTCCATATGGTGATCATCAATAACCAACGCCGCGAATATTAGGTGCACAAATTAATTCTGTGCCTCTTCTTATTTTTAAAAAGTCATGGTAACTTCAATTATTGAAGTTATTTTTATCGTCATCATGTTTTCGCGCCACTTTTCAAGTACACCGAACGCAGGAATATATTCAAATTTAAATTGGTAATTAAGAAGGCGTAATACTAGAGGCAGCGAATTAATTTATATTCTTAATAATTGTAGTAAAGAAGAAAACAACGATTTTTGGATGGCATTAGTATTGCATTAATAATTCAAGTTCAAATTAAAAAATATTCTACCAATATATTTCATTCTTTTTCATATTTAAGGAATTAGACCATTTTGAGTGAAAATGAAAAATTTTTAAGTCTCTTAGTAGGCGTATGTTCTCTTAAGGTTATTTTACCGAGAATGGTAGAAAAAAATGATTAATTATCGATAAGATATTTTAATATTGAAAACTGTAATAAACACACGTCTTCTTTTTCTGATAAACGTGTCACTTCATAATATAGGAGCGATAATGGTCTTATAATGTATTCCGTGGTAATTCCGATCTGAATGACCAAAATTAACTCTCCATTGCCATTTACGTACAGCTGAAGCATTTCGATATTATAGTAGACCTTCGAATTTTCGGCTGTATTGATGTGATTAAATGTGTCACATGAAATCAGTAAAGCGAAAGTCGAAGTCCTTGAAAACTTTTTACCAAACGAAATATTTTCACTTTCAAGACGCCTGCAAAAGAGTGTACTTACATATTTTAAAATTACGTACTTCAGCAGCAAAACTTACAATTAGTCCTATTACACATGTTATTTCCTGATTGTAAGGAAATTTGTTGATTCATCCAAATTTATGACTATGGTAATATCATAACTAATGAAGTTTTTGTAGCGTCATTGAATCATTCAGGATCTACTTGGAATTTCCAAGTAGACACTGACCGATGAGGCAATTTCATTAATTCAGGTTAATCCAATACCGTGTCTAGAAGATCGAACTTATAAGCGTACCAAATGGTACAACAATGGAAGATAACTTTTAAGCAACTGGGTAGGGACGGAGGGGTTCTAGTTCTCCAAAAACTGAAGGCTGGTACCTTCATCATTTGAGAATTTGAAAATTTAAAAGTTCCAAGATCCTTAGCCTTTAAAAATTTCATGTTTCCAAAATTTCAAAATTCAAAGATTCTAAAACTTCAAAATTTCTAAAGAACCTGCCCCTTCCCCCTGCAAAAGAATCCTTGGTACGCCAATGATTAGATCATCTGGAAGTGGAAAAATAAAGATTAATAATCCTACCATTCCCATAGTAAATATCACCACACTGTAATACATATAAATTTTAAAAATAACAAGTACATTCAGAATTGTTTTTGGAGCAATAAGCATTTTGAAATAATAGTACCGTTTTGAATAATTATCTTTTGAACTAGTATTTGTTTAACCCTCGAATAATGAAGCTAAGTCAATCATGACTTTAACAATGTTGCGACTAAAATTAGACACTAAAATTAAAAAATGTTAACGAAATAGAGTCTATAATTGAACTTAAATTATCGTTTCTCCAAGGACTCACCTCCTGATGGTTAAATATCGTGACGTTTGAATATTAATGCGATCATGAACAATTGATGCAATTTTATCAATCTTTCCCCTTCATGGTTACTACATTCATTGCTGCCTTAAAAAAAAACCAAAATCGCTGTTGATCAAATTTAATTAACGCATTAACTAGTGACGTGATTCGTTACCGGTCAGTTTTAATTCAGCAGCTACGTAATTAGATCATTTGCCGAGGAACGTTCCGCGTTGAAACGACACACGTGTCCGCAATTGAAGACCGCAATTTCTGTTGATGGAATGTTACACCGCATAAAACTTGATTCACATTAATAATGATATTGTGCATAGGTACAACTATTTATGTTATTCATTTTCGAACAACATGCTAAAATAGGGTAAACGTTGGTAGGTTAGTAGTATTTTACAAATTTTTCTGTTAACACGTTCACTGTAAATGAGACATATTAAAAATTTTAATTATTAAGAATTAGAATACCGTCCAAGTGTCAAGAAACAGTTACAGACAGATAAGGTAGAACACATGGTAACGATCTGAAGTAATGAATTTGCACCGACTTCGTACTTTGTCGTTACATTCGTGCGTGTGTACGTATGAATACGTGTGTGCAAGAATGCACGATCACTTCGATCGTTTCATGAAGACATTTTTTAGGTGTACAAATTAATTCAGTGCCTTTAGTATTATCTCTAATTACTATTATAATCACTCATTTAATTACTATTTCAAATTTGAATATATATTTATACATACACGGTAACAATTATTTCAGTATTTGGAATTATTATCACTTTTTATAAACAAATCTTCAATTAAAAGAAAACAGGGCGCAGAGTTAATTTGTACATTTATTAATAATTCAATATTTATTATCTTCACAAAACATTCTATTTATATGAATTCCACTGACTTTTATTAAAGAGGCTTGACCGATATATTTATCGAGTTAAATATTATTTGTCTGCTTGTTTTGCGATACGAATGTAATAAAAATTTAAACGGTGCACAGGGGTTAATCGAATTACTGAACTGAATTCCTTGCAAACGGATATTGCTCACGTTACTTCTTTTCTGATAACAACGATATCAACAATGGTCTTAAGCAAATGCGAATTATTCTTGGAACTAAACAACGCGACTTTTTGACGCAACGAGGGAAAGATAGATTTCTAGGAGGCGATGTTCGCATTAAATCAAACTGTACAGTGGTTGATAATATCGGACGATTGAAATATCACGGATATCATGCTCTGCGTGCGGATTGCGAATCGGTTATGGTGAAGAAATATTCGAGTGAAAGTGAAAATCAACGAACGGCAGACCGCAGAAATATACAAAATCATTTTTGTAACAGTACACGATTCTGTTACTGATTCTTCGAAACAGATAATGCTTCGGGAAACACGTACAAAATTGTGCTGGTTGTAACATTCAAGTGTGCTTTGTAGTCAATCATCAATAAAGGTTCTTTTAAAGATTCTTGTTATTTGGAAAGTGATGGGAAAATACAACAGTATAAATTACTGCAATAATTAACATTATCAATATTTCCATAAAGTGGACTTTTACGATATGTTTTTCAGGAAAAAGATTTATACAAGCGGTGACGTACTTGTATTTTATTGAGAATTTCGTTAATAGGAAATCGATTCATAGAATGAACGGTGATTAATCAGAACTTTCCATTTGTACGTTTCCAAGAGACATCGGTTAAGGGAATACACATCGATGTGTCGGCAACGTCTTGAAGGCTGACCGGAAATTAGGAAGAGGTGGTCGGTTCTGGAGAATTAGCACTGACCTAGGGAAGGCCTCGAGGTCGTCGATGGCACATATTCCGAGTGCTCCTATATTAAGTTAACTACTTCATAGCTGCCGATTGGACAGTCGGTTTGCCATTGCCAACATATAGGTATACCACAGGGTACATAGGCAATGCCAATTGCACGCATCCGCAAATTTGCTACCAACTGGCACGCTTATGTTATAGAGTTACTGTGCCTCTACCTAAATGGTTCCTCTCTCTCCAAGACACTACGTTAAAAGTGTGCTCGGAATGATTTCCCTCTTACCTAGGCAATCTGTCCAAGTACTGATACAAGTGGTTAAATTATAAATAAATATCAATGTAGAGGTAAAAAGTAGGTTGCTGAAATTCATGATTTTTTTTTTCTTTTTGTAAACTGCCTGTTATTAGGATACATTTATTCATATTCCTATAATATACTTTTAATGAACAATCAAAAGTATAATAAGTATAGTAGTTTATAAAGGAAAACGTTGGTTATGAGACAGTAATTGTCTCATTCTAAGAAAATATAATTACATTTTATAATTCAAAATTATTCATAGAATAAATTATAAAATTTTTTAATACGTACTAACGAATATAACGAATAAACAAGTATAACTTTTTGTCCAATTTTATATCCATTTATGTGTACTTTTATCTTGTTAGAATGTTAATATCAGTTTTATTAAAATTATTTTAAATGAACTGTAATTAACGTCTCTACAAATTAAACATAGGCTTCAATGCTACATGAAATGATATTCTAACACCTGTGTGACTTGCCTTGCATATCAAGGTTGCAGTGCAAAACGGCATAAGCAATCGTTCATGATGTAGAATTATTCTCATTGATTCATGACTAATGAGATTTCGAAAATGATTAATCCGAAATAAACTAATTTGCAATCTGAATTGATTCAACAAAAACTATACACAGGAACATCACGAACCTGAATATTAACTATTAAATATATACCTACAATTTGTAGAAAATAAGAAATTAAACAAAAAGTATAATATTAATATTTCCAAATTAATTATTATTAGAAAGAATGAAAAAAAAAATTAAAAATTGAAAATGAAATGGTTCAAGAGAAAAAATTAATGAACCATTATGAACAGATCTTGTGTAACAGATTTTATACTATTAAAAAAATGTTTGACATCGATTATGGATTGTACAACGATGACTTGACTTGCAATATTACTCTAATCGTCGATTGGTAATATGCTTACCAGCAGTCTCCCAGTAGACGTGTTAGTCGTTTAACTCGACTGTCGATTCATTACTTGCCTCTCGACTCTCCTTCTCTTTCTGGGTCAGAAAATATACGACGAGTGTCGGTCGATATGACTAACAATAAGTCATAGACTCGAAGCCACCTCGAAGAATTCTCTTAGCTGTACCAATGCACTGGTCGAGATGATAGGAGACACGAATAAGTGGTAATCGATAACACTGTTCAAGTAATTTTACCTAAATTCTTATTTTGGGATTTCTACCATTTGATAGGTGCTTTTTATATTCATTAAATTAACAATTCAAATTATTTTCATTCAATGTATAGCAGTTTATAAAAAGTTCCTTTGAATGAAGTTCAAATACATAATCGAACACCTCAAAGATAGATAATCTACAAGATTAACGTATTTTCTGTTTTCGATTGTAAAACTGTTTCCTTCATTACGATTCGTCGATTGTAAATTATGTTTTATGCATGCTTATCCGCTTTATCTTATCAGCTTGAAAAAGGTAAGAATTTCATTTGTTGCTATAGGCATATAAAATACTTTTTCAACGATACTTTAGACTTTCCACATTTTCAGAGATTGCAAGTGTAATTCTAAAATTGTAAAATGAAAATTATAGTAACTTAAAAAGTATCCATTTTGATCAAAAGTACCCGATTAAATATATTGTAATCTTCTTTCCTATGATCAAATAGCTGCAATAAAATTTAATTGCCTTTTATTAATATTACGACCTTTTCTGACAAAAATGGATAAGAAGGCAAAAGATTAGAATGAACGCCTCTATTCTAGTGTAATTATCTACTTAGGGTAGATAATCAATTTTCAGGATATCATTCATTTTTATTTTTAAGGCTCAAAAAGTGTGTATTACAATTTGAATTTTTCTAAATTTAAAAAGTTACTATTATTTTCTTACTATTTATTTTTTCTTTTCTTTCTAAAAAATGCTTAAATGTGGTCAGTTGTGTAATAAAAAAAATCTACAATTTAAATTTAACATGAATTACATATAATCATGTGAATACCATAGTGTGAGACTTTGTTATTCATTACCTCGAATAGTACGTTTTCACCTAAAGTCTATGCAAATGTCTTACAGGGTTATTCACCTTTAATGACGAGTCAAATCCGGTGTACATCCGGAAATACTACCAACATACCCGATGCAAGTAATTTCCTGTCGGGGCATGTTTCTTTTAAGTACGGTAAAATATGTTTTAGTTGTTGCGTAAAACTATTAACTCACCAAAAGAATGTGTACGTCTGAGGTTATGATGAAATGTAACGGTGTAAGAAAATAGTGAATGTAATGCTTTAATCACTTTGATTTCGAGTTATGCAATCTTAATCTCGCAAGTGACGTGGGTTGCTAAGTAAATGATTAAACGTCTATCGATTGGTCGCGGTTATTATAAACGATTATTTACAGACACCTGGTGAATCGAAATTATTATTGATGTGCCACTTTTAAACAAGTTCAATCTTTATAATTAACCTAACACATTTACCAAAACATTTGTTCAAATTGCTACGATTATGCATCATTTTAAAGACAGGTTAATTAGCGCTACTATTATTAATAGGTCATTCAGAATTTTTTCTTCTTCCCTATATTAACCTTGGAAATATAGAGCCTTGTATATAATCATTAACTTTTAATGTCTTTTTAAAAAATAATATTTTTACTAAGGCACGATTGAGAGCCAATTAATATTTCTGGAGTTTGAAAAAGAGAAACTGGAATGTAAAAATGATTGCTAGATTCATGATTTCTAATAATGACGTTGAATAGCTTGACTGTTACGTGCGCTAAGGGGGTCCACATCTCCGGGTTCCAATTTCCAGAGGACCCGTTATAAGCTTTCCATTTATTATATCAAAAAATATGAAATGAAACTTCTTTGTACTGCTGTACTCTTTCTTTACGATTAAATGTTATTTTATTTAGAATAAACTTCAATGTTTCAACCAAGTTTATGAACCGAGGGAGCCCTCGAAAGCTTGATAGTTTCAGGCTCCAGAAATTTTAATTTAGCTCGGGTCATTCAAATCTTTATCCTTCACCAGCACCTTGCAATCTTTGATAAAATTTTGTAAACCGAAGTTTTTTACCCAATAATAATACTAATCACTATTTTAATTTTTAATTTATAAATTTCTTATGGAAACCGAATTCGAGAACATTTTTCACCTGCCATATAACGTATAATTAATTACTTTGAAATTATATTATTTTATAAAAGATGCTGTATAAAAGTGCTGTACGATGTGCAAATTTGTACTTATAGAAATAACGTATTATTCAATAACATAATAACATTCAAGTCTGATAATGAACAGACACATGTTTACAGTCTGTTATTCATTCACTCGAGAACGCATCCACTTTGTTTACCGTCTTTTAATATGACCATTGTCCGGTTCTTCAACGTCAGCAGTTCGTCAGTAGCTCGTTTTCCGTCCAGTTCCTGTACAATCGTATTTTCATCGAAGACGAACGGAAGAGCGTTTCTGAAAACGATTTCACCGGTACCGCGAGACAAATCGCTCACACCTATCGCTACCAACCGTGGTGGGGCCGCGAAATCGAGCGGGGAATTGGTAAGCCTGTCGGCTGGCTACGTTCTTTCACTCGGAGACTGTCAGAGCCCACAGTTCTAACTCGGCCTCAGGCTACGATAGGTCGTGTCTCGTCGGTTCGATCTTGCCGCGAATTCGTCTCGCACGCGTCGCTCTTGCTTCTTATGATTAAAAGATCTCGGATTTCGGTGAAATTTACCGTTGACTTTCTCGCGTTTACGTACCACAACAGTTGTTCCTTAAAATAGTTGCTTCTCGGTTGTTTCCAGTGTTGATGAATACAAGGATTCAAGGATGCTTGTTTATCGTTACAGGACTACATACTAAGAGACAGGATAGCAAGAGGTAATGGCACGTGGTTTGATGTCTTTTTATCTTGATACATTGTTCAGATTAAATTCATTGAAAACTGTAATTCAATTTGATTTTAATATTGTGTAAAAATGAAGCGTTATAGAGTTCCTCAATTAGATCCTAATCATTTAAAAGCATTCGCTTGGAATTTAAGCAATTTACTTATTGCTATCTTCAATAAATTAATAATAAAATAGAAAAATAATAAGTTATTTTAAATTACATTCTATTCTATTTTAATAAAATTATATTTTATATATTTTAATGTGTAAATGGAATGTTTCTAATAAATGCGAAAAGTGCTTTAAAATTTTTAACTGAACTAAATAATAATAAAGGGTAATAAAAATTTGAACGATGCACAATGATTGAAAGTGTGAGAAACTTGGTCTCGGGTGTTTGCGAATGAGTTGAAAAAAACGAACATAAATCGGAGCTGATACACTCAATTGGATCGAGTCATTCGATCAATTTGGGATTAAAATTCGTCTTGATAAATTCAGTTTCTACGACTCGACTTTTCGGCGATAATGTGTAATATAAATCACGTTGCAACAGTAAAACGTGTAACTTTGATGAATTTTCATTCATAAACGCGAAATTGTTATTTAATGAGCAAACATCATTTTCAATATTTCGTAATTTATATTGTGTTCGTGGATATGAAATTTGATAAAAGTAAGAGTTTGCTGAATAAGTGAATTAGTAAAAAAGAGAAATAAACTTTTCTGCAGATCTGTCGTGACAGACACGATGAATCGAATGATTTTCATCGTTTTGATACTGGTCTCAATCTGTTTTAAAAATTTATTCTCTTATGAAATTCATTGATATAACTTGAACCTTTTTCTGGGGTGGGCCAAATTGATTAGTAATTTTGGAATTATAGAATTTTGGAAACCTGAAATTTTGGAATTTTGAAATTTGAAAAATCTGTAGTTTTGGAGTTCTGAAATCTGCAACTTCAAACATCTAGAATTTTCATAATTTGGAATTTTAGAATTTCGTAAGTTTCTCACAAGGAATAAAAAGAAAAAGCCAAATACAAACAGGTGGAAAGAATTGTTCTCCGTCCTATGCAACTTCGATTTCGATTTTGTATACGTAACATCTGTAACATCTGTAACATTATTCATTCTACGTCAGCGGTTGGCTCGTGTTTTTTCTAAAATTATAACAAAATATTAGATACCGAGGAAGGCAACCTCGAGACAGTCAGGGTCGAACAATGGGGTGCACGTCAGTCTTGTTTTGATCCGCGATAAATCCCGATAATCTTTATTGCACAGTTGCTTTTTATCACGAGGAATAGATATTAAAGAAATTAATCTATGAAACTTCTAACAGACAATGCTTTTTCTGGAAGTAGAGTAATATTAATTTTTGCACTGCACAAATCATCGACACTTTCCATTTTAGGTAGGATTCACAAGAATGATACATTAAATATTATTTTTCAAAATATCTATTTATTTTTTAACATGTTTAATAATAATATGGACGAGGTACATTTTTGGACATTAGTTAAAAATTTATAAAATTTGATTTTTAAGATTAGATATATCTTCATAGGTGTCATACATCTACGTACATCTTAATAATAAATTATTAATTATTACATTATCAGTATATAATTATTAGAACATCATATCCCATGATCGAATGCACGATCAAGGGGAATCTAAGGGAGACTACAGTGCCAGTCTCCACTTTCCAGACAGATCACGTATTGTGCCTTCCATTTATTATGTCAAAAGGTTCCAAAGTATGGAATCCACTATAATTTTGTAAATTTTCGACCAAATTGCCATTGCCAAAAATAAATCCTCTCCTTCTAACCTTTTTAAATCATCAAATTATTAAAATATGTATCATTTTGATGTTTATCCTTCGATATTATTTATTCTTAGATCGTCACATTTCTTTGTGATTGAATGTTATTTAATTCTATTTCAAATAAAATTAGCTAGCTTTTTTTCTGAGCAACTATGTCCTGTGGATTTCTAGAATTCGAATGAGGTTCCATAGGATTGTTCACTTTGCATCTTTTTGTGTTCTCTTCGTTTTGTTCTTCATCTAAATCTGAGAGAACCTGAATTGTACGACGTGAAGATCGTTTTTTGCCTTCCTTATTAATTATTAATGACGTTTCATTCACAGGATAACTTTGCCAAGAAGGACCAAGTTCTGGCTTTGACGAAAGAACCGGAGAAGTATCTGCTGTATTATTTTCGGCATCAAACGTAACTTCTGAATTTTGTTCAGAATTAGATTTGAAAAAATGACACTGTGTTGCGACGTGGCCAATTTTGTGACATGTAAAACAGACTTTTGCTATGCTTACTTTAATTAGATAGGTAATACCTTCGTGATCAATTCTTAAGGTGTCCGGTATGTGAAAATCATTTCCATTTGCCCATCCCCATTTCCTGAAGGGAGCAACATGTGAATACTCAGGATTCGTTATGCGATGTGTTCCAAGTCGAAACCCATGTATGTTGATATTATATTGTTGAATTTTTTGTTTAATTAGATCATTAGGAATTGTAGGGTATACATTATCCAACACAATGATTGTAACTAGAAGAGGTTCAATTTTCAACTTATGGCCTTTAATATTAATTTCTTTGTGTTTGATTATGAGGGTATCTGCTAATTGCGAGCTTGATAGGAATATACAGATGAATTCAGATTCTTGTGATGCAGATATTATGTCTTTCGGATTTATTATTTTACCAACTGCATTTAGGTATTCTTCAATGCCAATGTTATCTATTACTTTTAAAATTATTCCTTGACTGAGATCAGGAACATACGTAGTCATCTCGCCTATATTGTTAGTCACTAGATGATCCATTCTGACTGAAACTCACAGATATTGAATTTGAATTGTATTGATGATTATCCGTTCCGGGGGGAACCCACAAATATTGTATTCGGTCGCCTCGTTAATTGCTAACACTTGTGGCACAATTTGAATAGGTCTGAACTGTTAGAATGGCAATGTGAAACTGTTATCGCCATTTTCTCGTTATAATGCGAGAGAAAATGATTCACGTCATAAATAGTGATAATAGTTTATCGATGATTTCCACATTACGGAAAGAAGTGATAGAATTATCTCCTCTTCAGAAAATTGTTGCGGTAACTGATTGGACGAGAACATTTTTTAAATAATACATATTCTTTTCAGAACGTTTAAAAATGCTTTTCAGAACTGGTAGTTTAGTATATTTTATAATTTATTTAAGGAATACCGATGGCTTTTGTAACATATGTAAATCGGTGAGTTGAAGAAGAATGCAGTGTGAAATGTAAAAAATGAAATGCAAAATTAAGTTAAAGTTGGGCTTCTCTCCATGGTTCGCCGTCCAAGAGGTAATAAGTTAGGGGCTGAACTTCACTCTGGGTACACAAAATTACTGACTTTTTTATATATTCTAACCGTATTTGACAAAAAGATTCAAAATTACAAATTTTAATTCTAGGAATCCATCCGTTCAAATGTTATGTGTATTTAAAAGTGCGCGTTCTTAGCGTATTTTGTTAAGTTACCGCGATTAGGTTACCACGAAATAACCGCCAATAAAATAACAAGCATTTCATTTAATGGTCTTAACTTGTGTAGGTATAAAACTAGTATTATTCAAGGCACCTCGATTATTATTAGACGTTTCGAATGCCATCCTGTCTGTAGTAGTTTTCTGAGTTATTTTCATTCTAAATTGGTCCACTGTGAGAGCACGAAATGAACTACTTCAAGGGCAAACATCTTAAAACTCTTCATTTTCTTAAGTGAGAACACGACAACGTTGGATTTGTCATAGATAGACCCGGGATTATACGCTGCTTCTGATTAACGTCTCGTTGCGCAAGAACCATTCAGGTCGCGACAAAGATGGTATGTACCTAAGGCCGTACAGGTACTCTTGTGTGTTCTTACTCCTAAGTAACGTTACTACGAAATACATAAGACTATTCATTTGATAGTCAATTTTCAAAAATGTATAGACAAATATTTTTAACTATTATTAATCCACGAAATAAAATTTACCCCACTTACTGAATCTCCATTTTGCAAAAGGTAGAAGCTATATTTAAACATTCTACAACAGCTTTCTTTTTACCTCTTTAACGAAATAAACTTATTTTTTGTTTTATCATAAGCAGAAAATATAATCAAAGACGGTAAAGGAAAACAATAGTTGCAAAATTGTTATCGTAACGATGTACTTCAATGTAACCAAATGATTTTGAACACTTTTCAAATATCAGTTTTATGAATTAATTTATAATATATCTTTGAAGTTCTTGTATTTAAGAAAATTTCTAATTCTTCTCTAGAATTCATCCTTCATTTAAATGTGGAAAGAACCTTGATTCAAATAATACTTATATCACGATATCGTTATTATCGTGTCTTATCGTGTACTTATTTCTGAGTGTACAGTTACCTGTGACAACAGTATACCTGCGTGTGTAGTATCTTTTTTCAAGTCCAAAGTACTGATGGGCGTGTCCATGGCTTGTTAACATTTCTGAGTGCGAATTTTACAACTGTAAATTTATATTCCAATAAATTCTAAACGTGTATTCGAAAAATTCCAACAAAGTTGAGTTGTACCGTCGTTTTAATCGTATAAATTACTCTAATTTATTGAACATATAAGGTGATATTATTAATTCAAGAAAATTTAATTGAGAAATAGAAATGATTTCTTTCGCAATTTTTTATAAGGCTCGCATGAGAATTATTTGTAAATAAAAATGTAGTTGGTGCAACACCATGATAACGAGTTGCCAGGTGTTTACGACCACGCGATCATCATCAAACCCACCTTTACCATTTTAGTCACCTCTTTCCAATATGTGGCATTAACACTAAACCACCCAATGTCGAATGTATATCTAATTTTACCACATTCATCAACTTGACCGATTCTAGAAACAACTTTTATTTTTTTCTTCTATTATTTTCAATTGCTTCACTGTTTCAATGACTAATTAACAAAAATAGCTTCAGTTGTACAGATTTGTAATATTTTCATGCTTATCTTGTTCCTTGTTAAAGTAAAGTAAATTATATTAAACGTATACTTATGATTGATGGAAATTACATTAGTACGTAAAAAAACATTTTAACAATTTTTACAATTTAACCTTTATTTAACCTTTACATTCTTCTTTTATTCTTGTTTCCGATATTTCTTACTACTTATCCTTGTTACGACTTTGAAATAATAAATAGAAACAGTTTTCTATACAAATTTTATTATTGTACCGATGCTTATTTTTTAAATATATACCTCGTTGTCAGGCGAAATGAAATTCGCCAGAGCTAGAGTAAAACTTATTTAAAGATTTGAGCCTTAGTAAATGCGTTTTCTCGTGTTATCCAACTTAATGTTAATAAAAATAAATAATAGATTCTCTATCTACGTTCCTTGGGTTTCTGCGTTTCTGTTTCTGTTTTCTTAATTTTATATTTTATTCCATTATTATCTAAAATTGTTATTTTTTTTTAATCAAGTTTATCAACAAAGAGGGCCGTCGAAGATTTGATAGCCCAGGGCCCAAGAAATCTTAATTCGCTCTTGCTGTGACTTTTCGATTTCGCATTTTTGAGGTTGTTTTCTATGCTGCACTTAATGAAATTTCTCATATTGCACATACTGCAAATAATGGTGGTAATGAAGGCACAATACTTTCGGTTCATAAGAAGCGCTGAAGTGGTGTCATAGAGAGTTTCTTCTGACTCATTGTCAGTATGTAAAATTAAATCTTGCATTTCTTCAATCTGTATTCCATATTTGAATTGATGTCCTGGTACAGTGTCCTTGTGTCTAATATTTCGTTCCATGTGAACTCTGAAGCAAGTACTTACGTTCAAATTGCCCGTGCGGGCGCCTGAGTGCTGTCGGACTTGTTACGGGCACCGTTGTTTCTACTACTGTGATTTAGCGATCGGTAGTAGGAGGATATGTAGATTTCTTTCTGAGCAACTATGTTCCGTGGATTTCTAGAATTCGAATGAGGTTCTATAGGATTGTTCACTTTGTGTCATTATGTGTTCTCTTCGTTTTGTTCTTCATTTAAATCTGAGGGAAATCAAATTAATTGTGTATTTTGACTTTTTTGCTTTTCTTAATTGTTGATGACATTTCATTTACAGCCATACTTTGCCCAGAAGTGCCAGGTTCCATCTTTATCGAAAGATTCTGAGAATTTTGTTCAGGATTAGAGTTGACAAAATTGCAGTATGTTGCGATGTGGCCTATTTTGTAACATGCAGAGCAAAATTTCAATATGGCTACTTTAATGGCATAGCTCCGACCTCCATGCACAATTTCTAAGATAGGCGGTAGATCAGGAACGTGTGAATTTACAATTATGTATCTTGTGAAGTTACGAATATGTGAATAATTAGGATGCGTTTTGTTATATAGCATTCCACATCGAAACTCACTTATTTTGATATTATATTGTTGAAATTTTTGTTTAATTAGATCATTAGGAATTGTAGGGAATACGTTTTCCAACGCAATGATTGTAATTTCAAGAGATTTAATTTTTAACTTATGGCCTTTAATATCAACTTGATTGTGTACGAATACAAGAGTATCTACTAATTCCGGGCTTGATAGGAATATACAGATGAACTTAGATTGTTGTGATGCAAATATTATCTCTCTGGGATTTATTATTTTACCTACTGCATTTAGGTATTCTTCAATATCAATGTTATCTTTTACTTCTAAAATTATTGCTTGATTGAGTTTAGGAACATTCTCATCCGTCATTCTTGCACTGTTAGTCACTAGATCCATTCTGACTGAAACTCACAGATATTGAATTTGAATTGTAGTGATGATTATCCGTTCCGGGGGGAACCCACAAATATTGTATTCGGTCGCCTTGTTGATTGTAAACACTTGTGGGACACTTTGAATAGGTCTGAACTGATTGAATGGCAATGTGAAACTGTTATTGCCATTTCCTCGTTATAATGCGAGACACAATGATTCACGTCATAAATAGTGACGATAGTTTATCGATGATTTCCTCATTACGGATTGAAGTGATAGAATTATCTCCTCTTATCACGCTTTCAGAAAATTGTTGCTGTAACTGATTGGACGAGAACATTTTTTTAATAATACATATTCTTTTCAGAACGTTTAAAAATGCATATTGGAAGGAACTGGTAGTTTAGTATATTTTATAATTTATTTAAGGAATACTGATGGCTTTTGTAACATATGTAAATCGGTGAGTTGAAGAAGAATGCAGTGTGAAATGTAAAAAATGAAATGCAAAAGTAAATTAAAGTTGGGTCTCTCTCCATTGTTCGCCGTCCAAGAGGTAATAGTTTAGGGGCTGAACTTCACTCAGGGTACACAAAATTACTGACTTTTTTATATATCCTAACCGTATTTGACAAGAAAGATTCAAAATTACAAATTTTAATTCTAGTAATCCATCCGTTCAAATGTTATGTGTATTTAAAAGTGCGCATTTTTAGCGTATTTTGTTAGGTTACCGCGATTAGGTTACCACGAAATAACCGCCAATAAAATAACAAGCTTACACTGTTAGTCATTACATGATCCATTCTGACTGAAACTCACAGATATTGAATTTTAATTGTATTGATGATTATCCGTTCTGGGGGGAACCTACAAACATTGTATTGGATTGCCTCGTTGATTGTGAATACTTGTGAGATACTTTGAATAGGTCTGAACTGTTCGAATGGCGATGTGAAACTGGTGTTGTTATTTCCTGATTACAACGGGAGAAGAAATATGTAGTTCTCGTGGTAAATTGTGGTAATAGATTATCAATGATTTCATCATTACGGAAAAGGCTAATGCGATTGGTTCTTCTTATCACACTTTCGATAATTGATTGGACGTGATCATTTTTAATAATTCATGTTCTTTTCAAACCGTTTAAAAATGCATATTGAATGAAACTGCTAGATGTTTTATAATTTACTTAAGGAATACTGATAACGTAAATAAATCGGTGAGTTGAAGAAGAATGTAGTGTAAATTGTAGAAAATGAAAGTAATATGAATGCCACCTGTATTTCTAAATAACACATATTAATTTAATGTTAAAGCAGAAATAACAGAATTTTTAATTTAACGTGAGATTATTATAGAAAAGAAAAATTACTTTCTAATGAAATCAAATTAAAGCTAAAAAAGAAAAAAATTGAAATCTTATTTTACACTTACGTAGCGTTATAAATAAAATTTTTATCTCCACGTGATACAGTTACAATCACTCTAATATAATTTCACGTCCTATCTCTTTTTATTTTCGTGTCTTCTTAGTAAAAACCTCTAACGAAAATAGCATAACTGTTTAATTTTTACGATAAAAATATCGAAGATACTAAATTTCGCAATTGCACGAAAGAAGATAACGTTATAATAACAGTTTTATTTTATTTGTAATCTTATTTGTGAAAAGGTAAAATTTTAAATAACAAAAAAATTTCAAATTAAAAACAATATTTATTAGGTTAATTAATTGTGCGTGTAATAGAATAAATTATAAAATTGTATCATTGCACGTTGTAATTTGAAAATTTTCCAAAGAACGTATTTTTATCTTTACATGATATCATGTTCAATTATCACCATTCGAGTAGGATAAAAGTTGCTATACATTTTACGTACCTTTTATCATGAATTTATTAATGTGCGATAACGTTAAATAACGATTTCTATTCTCACGTTAAACAAGTTTCTTAAACATTATTTTAGTGACGTACATACGTGTTATGGATAAAGGAAAATTTAATTATGAAACGTGAGAATGAATCCAGTTGAATTTCTTTTTTTTATCTATAAATCTGTACATTTTAGAAAGTATGTTGACCGTTATAAAAATTCAAGAGGCACGTCAAGATACGTACAATAAGAATGTTTTATAAAAAACGTTTTATGAAGGTATTGTTCACAGAATAAATTATATATTTCTTTTTTATCAAAGAATAAATGAGATTCTACGAAAGTTGTGCAATTTTGTTACTTTTCTAATTCACAAATTTTTGTAAATAATCTTTTGTTTCTTATATTTAATGTCTTTATCATATTAAAATATATCGAATTGTTAATCTTGGATTTTCAAATAAATACAAGAAATAATATGATCTTTTGTTTTACATACAAATTATTTAAAGTTACACACTCAATTTTTACATAAAAATATAGATGTATTTAACATTCATTAGAAACAAAAATATTTCTTCAATTTTCTTTACTGAATAGAGAAACTTAAAAGGTTTTCAATCCTGAAGCCAATTAAAATCTAAAAAATTCTATAAAATTTCATAATAACTTATAATTAGCAAAGAATAAAAAACAGATTACATGAAAAATACTATCCCATAAATCATTCAATTCTTCGAATTTTGCAAACGCATTTGCCTTAAATATTTACAGATTCGAATAGACTCAAAATGTTCTTCGAAACGTGCGCAGTGTAACCATTCACGTAAGAATTTATTTATTCAATTGTTCAGACGAATAGGTTCGAAATGTTCCTCGAAACGTATAAAGTGTAACCACTTACACAAAAACTTATTTATTTAATTGTTCTGGCTTATTCGTCAGAGAACATTTCCACTGTAACAGTAATCTAATATCGTCTTCATCTTCCTCGATTTTTGATATTTTATCAAAAGATACTGCATCGTTTCCCCCACGAATTCTCTGCTTCTTCATCTCCTTCTGTTCGTTCCAAAACTTATTCCCATTCAGCTCGTTATCATGGTGCAATATTTACGCAACTTATTGTTAGCGCTAAAGGAAACGTTCAATGTTGCGTGTCACTTCTTATCCAACCGGGTGTTAAAATAGAAAAAGACACTACTGTACAAGCATTAGCAATGCTGATACAGGAAACGACAAAAATAATCCATGAACTCTACACGGTTACGTTCTGTTGCACAACAGTGTGTATCTTTCTTATTTTAAGAGAAACATCGGCAATGTGATGACGTTACAAATATTTAGAATGTATAGTATCGAGCAAAATCTTAATTTTGACGACGTTAAGACGTTGATCGCTGCGGCACCCAAATCTGGGTGACGGCTGTGGATACGTAGAGGCCCTGTCACCCAACTATGGATAAAGCTTTTCTTCGTTCAGTTATGTAGAATTTTGCAAATAATTTACAAGAATTTTATTTGTAACTGTTAGAAATAGGGTTCGAAGTGTCCACTATGAGAGTGAGAGTGAGAGATCGACGGTTGTCACTTTTCTCGAAAACGCCTATGGGGTTCGGAGAAGGGGACCTCCGTTGAGGACCGGAAACCCGGTGAAGCCTACGGGGGATGGGGATAGCCCGGGATTTTGCCATTTTTCCTAGAGGATGCTGTACTAATGAGCAATATTTGAGATCTCTTAAAATACAATAAACTACCAGGCAAAAATAAGTAATTTTACAAAAATAAGTAAATTCTAGAGGAAAGAGCGGTATTATGACCCCTGCTGGTAATTATCCCCATCGGTAATTTTCATGTTATTACAAAGATATCTTGGTATACTGTATGTATACGTTACAAACTGTGTTCCATCGTATTTCGGTCACTGTTTCGTACTTCCTCCTCTGTTTCTACACTTGTTGTTCCATGTAGTTAGTGGCACGATACATGTTACAGTCGTGGTCTACGAAACCGATGGTGGACAACGAAAACGACCGTTATTGCGGACGGCCCCGTGTACGGTGAAATTCTGATGTAATATTGCGATACGAGGATGGGTTGCGCAAGCTGTGAGTCTCGCAACGATCCTGACACACGCGTATCACCTTCGTTTATTTCTTTTCTTTTTCTCCTTTTTAATTGCTGCCTATTTTCAGCTTTACAGGAATACTTCAATGTCCTTTCTAATTTTAACCCTTGTGTCGTTAACTGGCTTCCCATTTCCATGTTGACATCACGTTGATTGCCACGTCACCCATCTGTGGGTGGCGTTTTAATTTCCATTGGAATCCGTCATCAATATTATTAGAAATCCTTTGCTTTACCTGATTTAGTACCGCAACTAGGACGGTCAGAAGGGTCAGTAGATCCCCATATGAAGGAATTAAAACCTTTTTTTTTATTATTATCGGAATAATTATAGAACTTTCAGAAAACTTCGCTAATAAACAAAAATTAGGAAAATTAGTCTTAACATTTTTATGATACTAATAAGGCATAAAAAATCCTCCCCTCTCCAGGCAACTGTTTGATTATTAATAATACGTATATTCTTGATTATATTTTGTCATACTTTCAGTATATGTAAATTAATTCCGAATACCAAGCTGAAAAACGAACAAAATGCTATAATAACGTTTCGAGGTCTGATTTCAACGGGGTCAATGAATCTTTTTCTGTACAGGTCACGGATAATGGTCGAACAAACTAAAAGCATCACGATTACATGATTTTATACATTTCTTGTTGCGTTGCAAGAATCGGTTATAACGACACGTCACTTCGTAGAATTTAAGACTTCGCCAGTATTTTAGATTAAACGAAGAATGTTAGAAAAACGCCAGATAGATTATCTGACATACCGTGACACATGCCTGAGACTTGAGATTGGAATTTCGAACAAAGATATTCTATGAATGCGAAAATTCTCCTGAAATAAGTGACGAGCTTCTTTTTATACAACGAATTCAATGAAAAACATGGCATATTTTATTCAGAACAGGTATTCTGAAACGAATTGTGATCGTTGCAGAGATTGATAGTATGATAATTAATGTAATGTACAAAGTATGTACGTGTAATTTTATATAAAAGAGAATTGAAAAATAGAAGTTCTTTAGAGTAGTATCTAACAGTATAAATATACTTTTCCTTTTGATAACACTTTTACATAAATTATATTTTTAGTTTTGTTATCACATTGACGTAACTAGGCAGCCCCCCAACAAAAACAAATCTGGACTGGTCCCTCCCCTAAGATGTGGAAATTTTCTGTCCTCAGAATAACAATAATTAATATAACTTATTTTATTTATCATCAGCTGTTTGTTTCAAAAAGTTTTGGAGTTAATATTTAAGCAAACACATTTGTTCCTTTTTCTTTGATGAAACCATTTAGAGGGTCAAGGTCAACTGGTTGATTGAACGTAATCGTGCGATGATCTCAAAATGAAGTAGTCATCAGAAGGATAACCGGCTCGTTTTGAGGACATTGTCCTTAAATTGCAAATTTCGTGACATGCAAATCAGGTTGACCATGTATCTGTCGCAAGAAATATTCTGACCCATATCTCTTACTATTTTCTGAAGGAAAGAAAGAAATATTATTTTTGCATGCAATATAATTTCAAAAGCAAAATTTATAGGCATGTGAATAAAAAAAATGAAAAGTTTATTTATATATTTCATTGAAATTTCTAGTATGATTTGAATTTTCATTTTTCAACAAAAATAAATATTGAAGTAATTTATTTATTTTATATTCAGGTAATTTAAATTATCACTGAAGTATCTCATCGTCAGATACATAATGTTTTTGTGACATAGTGATATGAAAAGTGTTTCTGAAAATGATATTTTTATTAACAATAATTCAGATAGCAAAATTTGTTAGTATAAATTTAAACTGTTGCGAAGGACCACTTTATACATTCGAATTTTGTGTCGTTTATATTCATAACCAGCAGATCAAGATGAGTGCCTGAGACATTTCTTGATCTCCTTCACGAGTGACGTGCGCGGCATTTGTGCCTTTTGTTTCGCCACGAAATGTGTGTCAGCGGCCAGATATGGTTCTTAATTGCTTCCATTGGTTGTCAATAAGTATTATTTTAGAAGCATTGACCAATGTGATTCGAGCTGTTGGAATAGATTTAAATGCAGTCGTACAACTGTGAAATATCATCACGAAGTTGCAGGGCTTTGATACAATATTTTAAAGTGACATATTAGAAAATTACGAGACTATCTATTCCTTTATTTTTGAAAATTGAACTTAATAGAAAATTGGATTTTAGGATAACAAAAAAAAAAATTGAATAAGGACATTACAGTCTTAATGCTTTCCAAAATTCGTTACAAGCGTTCTAATAATTATGGAGGACAGTGTACTGAAATTTTTCATGCGAAATATATCATTTATATTTAATCTTATCAATCAACGTTAAATAAAGCAAACAATATTTATCGCGGTATAATCATTAGAGCACTAATTTTCCTCTAGTTTTTATACAGTTTCTTGTATTGATCGAGACTGCTAGTTAGAAAATTATCTATGCTTATTTGCAAGCATCATTCAATGGTAATTAGAAATCAGTGTTTTGTAATATATCATATTGTATTTTTATACGGCTACACGTGTCGCGAGACAAAAAGAATGAAAATAAACTTAAGCAGTTTCTTTCCGTTGCATTAATAACGTATACCAACGAGTCTTAACAATTTTCTTCGCGCGTCATTCAATGAAAAAGCGTCGCTAGTTTTTCCGATGAGACGCGTTGTTAATCATTCTGTTTGGATCGGATCGGCGAGCAACCGCGTTAGGAAAGCGAATATGACTTGTTGTATTAGCGATCGCTTCGAGTTGATTGACCTGTTCCGACGTGTATGCACTGGAGGCTGATTTTTGGTGCGTTACGGTTTGCTAATCGTTTCGCACGACCGGCTGCCATCGATACTTGTGTGGTTGAGACACTCTCCCCGTGTGGCCTGTGTGTATCTCTTTTTCGCTTTCTTTTCCATTCGTCTTTTTCCCTTGACTTATTCCAGTCCACATTCCCTAGCTCTATTTTCCTTTTTCCTCCTCCTCTACTGTTCCTTACAGTACTCTTCCAGTTCTTGCTGAACACCTTGATGGATCACTGTAAATGGATATCGCTGAACGATAGTGCATCCGCGTTTACGTTACACGCCTAACATCCTTGTATTAATAATTATATGCATGTTACGTTTGTTGCTAATTATTTTCTATTGTCTCGCGGTTCCACTTCGTTGCATCAAGCTGCAATTGATTTCACGAAACATCGATAGATTTCTATTGTGTTCTATTAATAACGTCGGAAAATATAATTGAAGCAGCCTTTTTCATTCGTTTGACGTCAATAAGTTAGATTCATCATTTCACAATTTCGTTATTTATCCTAATTAATGGGACATTTAATAGTTTCAGCTTTATTGTTAAACGTGTTACGTGTTTTGTACGATATTATTATTAATTTCAAAATTAACTAAAAATGTCCATTTTCATTATCATAATTAATGCTACTATTTTTTAACACCTTTTTTAAAATCTATAGAGTTATTAAAATTGGAACATAAATCACCGTAATCCTTTCACTCATTCGTTATTTTCTTTCCATCAAAGTTGTAAGCTTTTGCGTCAGAGGTCAAAGTGCAACGGAATGTATAAACGCGGTTTGTCTAAAAGATTAAAGAGTTCTTCATGATCAAGATCATTATTCGGTAAAAGTCAAATGTTATCGATTTAGGAAGAAAAAAAACGCTTAATAATTTTCATTTTTTTTTCTACTTTCAATTCACGCTCACAAACACTTTCATCTTCCACGTATCGAAAGGTACACGACTTCCGGAAACGACTTCTAGAATTGTTGTTCCTCATGGAAGCACGTGGTGAACTGGACCACGAGGCCGTGAATGTACCGTTAAGCGCGCAACCGGCAAAAAAGCCGGGCTCTGACCAAAGCGGGTATGTATGCCCGCTGCCGCGTTCCTTACGACTTCCAATTTCCTGCTTCGCTTTGCTTCCAGCGAATTGTCAACTCTCGTATTTGTATCCTGCAACGAAATCTATACATGGCGTTCGAAAAGGTTCGGGTCGAACTTCAACAGCGTGTAATCAAGAAAAGAAGTCTAATAATCAACAATAAGACCCCTTCTTTTCATAAAATATGCAGCCGTTTGTTCTAAAATTATTTCTATGCAATACCTATAAGTATTAGGTGTACAAATTAATTCGGTCCTCCTAACATCACATTTTTTTAGTTATTTTAAATTTGAACATTTTCCCGCACTTTTGTGAATTTGAAAAGTGGCGCGAGAATATGATAACGATAAAAATAAATTTATTAATTGGAGTTATTATAACTTTTGAAGAATAAATGTTCAATTAGAAGAAGAAAAGTCACCGAGTTAATTTGTACACCTAATATATTTATTACACCATGAAGAAATTGTTAAACCGGTGTCTGGTGTGTTTGATACCCAAGAAGTAATAATTTTATAAAATCATAAATTTTTCATTTTTAACCGTAAATTTCTAAATTTGCTAATTTTAGGAAACTTTTAATTTTATTAATTGTATTTTATAATTAACTTTGCCTATGATACAATGGCAAAGTGACTGGAAAAACTGAAAGAAGAACTGAGAATCACGCGATGTTGAAGGAAGACATATTTTTTTCGGTACAAAGTTCAGTGTGATCCTGTTATTCATTTTTTTTCGCTCTCATCATTTCTCACTTATCATTTTTCTACGAACTGAATGTTTTTACGCATGATAAATTATGCCATTGGGAAAGAATCTGTATGCTATTTAATATACGAATCAAAGATAACGTGATTTAAAAAACTTATAATCTACCAGTTTCACGGTTGAAAATGCCTACTATCGAGTACGTACATTTTTTATTTACAAACTCGTAAAATCATTAAACGAGTTCCATGTAATGATCATTATATGCTATATCTACAGTTTCTTGCGAGAGTTTTACTCTCAAGTGAACATCTACCCGTATAAACGCTCGTAAACATAATCTTCTGAATAACTTCTGCCCTGATACAGATGAAAATATAAAATTACAGGGTACGATTACAGGTTCGACAAAATGTGCAGTTCTCAAAGTGTTAAAATAAAACATTCGAAGTCCGTCATTTTGATGAATTCGTTGTTCTAGTGCTAAACGTTCAAGATTAATGATTAATGTTTCATTTATTTTACTTCACAAGATGATATTGTTAGAGTTGAAGGACACAAAACCATTGATAATTCGCCTGGTCGATATCGAAAAGGAGGTACATTTACGATGAAAGAAGGCATTGTTCAACTTTGCTGGGGATACCCTGATTTAAACTTCGAGTGGTCGATACAGGGTCAGTCTTGACCCAAAGCAACGAAATACATACAAAACTGTTATGATTAAAATTAGATGCTCAAATTTTTTTAACCAAAGACTTTGATATATTAGAAAAATAATATCTAAAAAAATAGTTCAATGTTTAAAAATTGCAAGTAATAAAGAATTTAATTTTTTAATTTAAATTATCAGTAATCTCAGTGATTCGCCATCTGAGTTAAAGCGGTATTTCACCTTATCTTTATAGAGGACCCAAACCTATTTGTTCAGAACAAAAATGTGGACCTCAGTAATGTGATGATAAAACACCGTTTCTTAGAGAAGATATTCGTGTAGGAATAAAACATATATTAAAAAGGAATTTAAGTTAAAGAATTGATTAATAAATAATTAATAATAACAGAGAATTATTGCTATTGAATAATAGCTAATTATGATTCATTAATTTTTATTTAAAATTTATTTTATTATTATTTCTTAATATGTATAAAGGGAATTGAAAATGTTGAGTGCCTTTTGGACACAAAAATTGTATTTAGTTCCTTAATACATAATTTTTATTTATGAAAAGGGACCGAACATTATGAATTCTTTTTATAATATAATATAAGAATGTTTCTTTGGTTTTGTGTTCTTCATTATGAATGTCTTTTGCTTCCATATAAGTTTGAGACCAAATGCGTGTTTATAGAAAATCATTTGAAAAGTGATGTAAAAGAAGTTATTGACTGGAAGATGAAAAATAACATTATGAGGATTGATTAGCTGTCTCGATCATCAGATGTCAATTCAACAAGAAAACTTATTTGCAATTCAAAGCTTCTAGTGAAGCATATTTACAAGATATGTACCTGTGTATGTATACCTACTGAAAATCGAATGAAAAGTATTAGTACATTTCTGTACATTGGAATTATTTTATTTTCATATTTTATTTTAAGATAACATTCCACAGGGTACAGTCATTCACGTGCTAATGAATTAGTTATTAAAAGAATTTATCAAATGTCCAAATGGGCAAATTGTAAAAAAAAGGTAATTAGAATGAAAATATCAATAATACTATTATCCATAATGACAAAGATATTTTTTTATGTTATAGATGTTTCCGAAATTGCGATACTGCTAAAGGCCACGTCTGATTAAATAATTCGTGAGTATCTTTAATTACAACTGTTTCAGTTAATAATAATTTTGAGTCTATGGGTATGATAAGCTAATTAAAATCTGTTGAATTTATTGGCCATGACCTATCTCCACCTACGCGAGTTGCATGAAAGAAAACACTCGGAGACTGCTTTGCACACTCCATAGCTACTTAAGTTCTATTAACCGTTCCGTCTGTTTGTAAATTAGAAGCAGAAGCTGTAAGAGGCGTACAACAATTGGCAAAACGCTTTATTTACATTTTACATCAATGAAGTTACAATAGAAAGAAATATTTTTATATGCACAATAGTGCACAAGATTTATTTTATAATAATAACTGATAAGAAATTATAAATGATATAATCTTCCTAAACTTTTCAATTTCAAAAATTTTGTTTACCACTTACTGAATATATAATACAAATTTTATAATAAATTATCTTAATTATTATGTTAATAAATATTTCATGAATAGAAACCCAATAAAATGTAAAAATTGTTCCTGTGTATGTACAGTATCGAGCAAAGTAGGCTTCCCAAGGAAAAATGACGATATAAAAGAAACAGGAATTCGCAGAATTCTACATTCGACGATATTAATATTAAAATAATTCAGAAAAAGAAAAAACTACACCGCCATTTTCCTCGGGAATCCTAGAACCCGGAAACTCGAGGAATCTAGGGTGATAGTCGAGGACTACGGAATCCAGAGAAGCCATCAGGCTTCCCTAGAAGGGAGAAAGGTCCGGGACATCGCCATTTTCCCTAAGAAAACCTATTATGCTCGATACTGTACAATTATAGACATGAATTTCTGTGTTCGGATATTCCTGTAAGCTTTGCTTATTATCATAACTACATTTCTTCCTCTTATTTGAAGGCTGCGGTGTGTATATGGAAATTACCATTGACGTCAATGCCGATGGTAGACAAAATAATGCAAATAATATACCGAAGGTATCCGGGTCCCTTTCGTCCATCCACGTATAGAACAGCTAAAATGTCCATTTAACGGTTTGATGAAGCGTGTCAACATGTAAAGTGTCATCACTATTTTGTCTTTACTTACTTCATTTTTTTATACATCAGCGTATTGGATCTTATTTTTTACAAAAGGAAACCGTTTGACCTTGCATTCGTTCAAGTAAACGATAAGTGTATGGTAGATCATTAATTTTTATTAACATTGACATTGACATCTTTTCAGCTTGGAATTTCATTTGAAATTTAATATTTGCAATAACAGTACGTCATAAGCAACACTTTCATTGAGAATAATAAAATCAGTAGAGCAAAATTAAAAGAAAAAATTATTTATAGAGGCAAGGAACGTTTCATTGAATTTACGAGAAGTAGAAAATGGGAGTAATCTATGTTTGAAAATATTATTAACCTAACATAAGCTTGTGTAAGAAAATTATTTCAGTATTTCAGTAGAATTTGATTAAATTTTGGTTTAATACATATTAAATTAAAATTTGTATTTTTTATAAGTTTTTGTTCAAATGTAATACGATCTTATAATGCGATCTAAGTAAATTCAATTTTGTTGTATGAAATAAGTTGGTTGTTATCATTAGTTCTACATTGAAGATCATTAGCACAGAGATAACAACACTCCACAAGATAACTACGCCTATAGTAAAGATATTAAAGATAATAAACTAGCAACTTCACAGGCTGAACTTACGTGGTTTTAACGTTGCAGTACAGTATAATTTTTTACGTTTATCTTATTCTACTAAGCTACTTACACGTTATTTTTAATTTTATACATGGCATATTAGTAACAATAACAGCTTTAATTATTATTTCAAAATTCAAATAGTTAGAAAAATGTTTCGAAAATGAAAAATACCTACATAAAAATTGTTGTTAATGCAACTGTTTAGCACAGGAAAAGTGGTCACTTGATTTTTTAAACAAATTACTATTTTTTTCAGTAGATCAATTCCTTAGAATATTTTTCATATGAGAAAATAAATATTAAATATTGTGTATTTATTGAAAAATGAATTATTGTGTAATTAATTTAAAATTAAGACAGATGTCAGTTCATTCACCTTAATTTCTAATCATTCTTAATACATACTTTTCTATTGTTAGTATTTTAAATACGCTTTTCCTAAATATAACTCCTTGCATTTCTGATGTCTAAATTCTTATTAAAATTAAAAATAATTTTGTAAATTGTGCGTACAACACTTACCTTCGTTAGTATTCAAAAATACTCTAAACATTTGTTTTTTGTTTTTAACAGGTAAATCAGATCGAAAAATGCAGTCAGCGCTGTTATTCTTCATCCTCCTGAGTTACTCAGGATGGGTGAATGGGCTGTGCGATCTCGTGAATGGTACCATGGCCCATTGTCACGAACTTGAAGATGTCAAATACATCGAAACTTACGACCTTGAATCGCTGAAAGCCTTCGTGTCAAAGCCAATCCTTCATCCAGGTCTCTTCGTCAATTTAACCAGCCTTCGACACCTAGATCTATCTAAAAGCGGCATAGAGGGAATAGAATCAAAAACATTTCGCCAATTGAAGAATCTACATAGTTTGGATCTCTCCGAAAATCTTCTGGAATCCTTAGAACTAGGCTCCATAGACGGTCTGAATCACCTTCACAAGCTAGATCTTCGTAAGAATAATTTCCAACAATTGCCACCAGTATTGGCTCGTCTGAAAATTCTCAAGTACCTAGACATCCAAGGCAATCCTTTGCAATGTAACTGTGCAACGCTAAGAGTAAGAGATTTAATCCTGAAGAGGGGCGTGAAGATCATGAAGAAGGTCCTTTGCGTTGGTCCAGGTAACCTGAAAGGAACCTCGCTTTTCAAGGTAGACACGACGATCGTTTGTCGTTTCGAGGAACAGGATCGTGAGATGCAGAACGATCAATCGTACAAAGACTCAGAGGACGAATTCGGTTCTGGAGACGAGAACAGTGGAGAGTTCGAGGAGATTTTAAACGGCTCCTCCGAATCTCCCAAAGAAATAGAAATCGAAACCCCATTTCCGAACGACCCTGAAGTATCTACCCCTTCGATCATCCAATCATCGTTTCCGGAGACCAGCGAATCCTTGCAGACCAGTAACATTGAGTCAGCAGCGACGACGCAGATGATGCTGATAGAAACGGTGGATAAAGACGAGCAAATTTTCTTCGGCTCCGAGGAGAAAACGTCTACAGCTGTTGCACCGACCGAGAGGAAGAAGGAATACGTGGATCATTTGTTTCATCCTGCTGAAGGTTCCGGGGACGAGGAAGGCTCTGGGGAGGGTTCGGGTACGGGTGAGATTTTCGGCGACTGGACAAGAGTCGGGGAAGTGGAGAGGACTAGCGAGAAGGATGAGGAATCTTCATCTTCCAGCAACGGATTGATTGATATGTTTTTCAACTGGATTTCGGCTAGTACGGAGGCTCCGAGCATTGAGAAAGACCCTGACTTGGAGGAGGAACAATTCATCGACGTGACTACGATGAATGTAGAAGCTGTCACCCGGAAGGTCCATTTGGACGAAGCAGTGTCGAGCACCACCGAGAGGATCAAGGATGGAACGATGGTTCCTCTCGATGGAGTCGAAATAGTCGACACTGAATTACACGACAAGTCGAAGTTAGGTAACGTTAAAGTTGATGACGGGGATGAGCTAACCGACGAGTCAGCCGAAGTGTCCCAAGCGAAGCAATCGAAGAAAGGAATGGGTTCTTACGTGGTTCTTGCCGCTCTGCTGGCTATTCTGGCGACTCTGATAGGATTCGCGGCTTACAAAGGCGATTTCTGCAAGAAGAAGAGAAAACGAGGTGACGTTGAACACGGGACCGAGCTGAAAGACATGCAGAAAGCTTTGTTAGAGACGGGCAATTCGACGCAGCCGAAAGTGGCTTCGAATGGAAACGTGGAAAGCTCTCCTCTGGTCCAGGATGCAGACCAAGTTGAAATAAAATCCTCCGACGATCGTCAGACGACGATAGACGTATCTAAACCTCCAAATACCATTTCTGAACGCACGGAACCGGTGAAACCTATTAGAAATTCGCAGAATGTTCAAAGACTCAAAGATACGATTGATGAGTCCAGTTCTTTGAACGACGATTCTTCTTCCGCGAGGATAAGTTCTGTAGATGTGATTGATAATTGTCCGGTGAACGGATCACCGGAAGTCCACGGACCTCCTTTAAGTCCTGGTGCTCAAAGAGTGAAGATTACTTTGCAGGAAAACCCCGACAGCGTGCCGAAGACGCCCATACTCATCACAAGAACGATGGCTGGTGAGAATCTAGTCAAAACACCCTGAAATAAACTGCGATAGTAACAAGTTGATGAGACCCGATATTTGAACTCAATCATTTCAAATGAAACATATCTGTGAATGATAAAGAGAGGACCTACTATGATTGTGTTTCAATTCAGAAGAGGTTCGTAGCAGTGCCAGTGTTCCTAGGCCCATGCATTTATGGCCGTTGATTGCGATGAACTGCTAAAACAAGGTGTATGAAATGTGGATCAAGACTGTTTTCAATGAAAGTTCATTTTCATAGGTTACGACAAAAAGGAACAGAGCCGCCCTTGGCAGCGCGCAAACGGGGCACGATACTTGCCCCGTACTGTTCACCGCTCACAAGAAGTCCCATGGGACGACACAAGGGCAAGAGGGGATACTACGTACACATCGACCCCCTAGTTGTACACGAGCCTAATTAGTAGATGTGGCCGCTTTGACCAATCATACGTCACGATCGAAAATACGTGTAAGCTGTGGTAATCAGATTGCGTTACGCTCATGGGACTTCTTGCGATCGGTGAACAATACAAATTTTCGCAATTTGTAAAAATTAATTAAATTGAATACGAATAATCCAGTTATCAATTCTTGAATCGTATCTTTAAAACTGTGAAATTACAGTTTTCTGAATAATAGGAATTTCTATAATTATGCAACAAATGAATTTGACTTATATTAGTCGCAAATTTTTATATTTTAACGCCATTTCATAACAAATGACAAATATAGAATACATGGAGTTATGTATTAGTAGTTTATAGTTTTATTAGAATAGATTTTAAAATTATCTGTTTGCAATAATATTGACTTTGCCCCGGGCCCAGCAAACTCTAGAGACAGCTCTGCAAAGGATAATTTGTTTAGAGATAGTAATAGAAGAGATGAGTGATTCTGTGAAATAAAATTGTACATACTTGCAAATAATAGACATATGTGCATATATGTGCATATTTATGCACAGTATCGAGTAGAGTAGGTTTCCCTGGGGAAAATGACAAAGTCCCAAACTTCTCCTCCCACCTATAGACTTCTACCGGTCCCTATCCTTCCCCTTAACTACCAGGGGTTCCTGTGTATCCCCATAGGAAGTATTGTAACATGATTTCCCCTAGAGATGCCTACTTTGCCCAATACTGTACGTATAGATGTACATATAACATAATATATATATGAAGTTTCATTGTTTGTATAAAATTCATGGATGGAAAAATATTTGATACATTTTATATAATGTGTATTCAATATTAGCACACTAGTCAGTTCTGTCGAGGATTTTCATTTTTATACAAATTTCAATGGAATTCGATTAATCATTAGTTTCATTAGAATCCTTTGACCTCTAAATACGTACATCATTACACGATTCTAACTTTAGTACTTTTTCTATTTTTTAAATTAGATAAACAATTTAATTTAACAGACGGATTAAATTTTGCAATAAATTATTTTAATCGTGTACTATAATAATATGCCGATAAAACGAAGGTTTTTGAGTATATATTTAAAAAACACGAGAAAATGTAAAGCGTAAACGTTTATGATAAGCATTCCAATTAAATCACTCTATTTAATAATTTAATAATGCCATTATCTGAGTGATAATAAAAAAAGATGTTGATAGAAAATAAGATAATATAATGTAAAATAAGTACCAACGGTGTATCCATAATCGTTTTTTAAGAACTAGAGCAAGATTTTAGCATTTTGAAATATTTCATGCTAAATAATCAATAATCACATGAAAATTATTCTTTGCAATTTCTTAGAAACTTCTTCCATTATTAAATAACCTTTTATTTTTACAAAATTTCTACAACAATAAATATCTAATATTACAATTATTATTTCGTTAAAAACAAAAATTAGTAGATTTATTTTCAAATTGTTTAGTTATGTATATTCTTTCAAAACGTTATTTATTTTGTTTCTGTAACTAAACGAAAAAAGCGAAGATAAAATATCTTAAAAAATAATTTCTTAATATCTTATATTTCTATTTATCGTTACATATAGTATTTAAGTGAATCCCCTTGTAAAAATGTTCTTCCAAAGTGAAATAATTTCTACATTACGGATTTTCCACGAAGAAACTGCAAATAACTTCTTAGGAAAGTGCCGTTTAATCTGTTACAAAAAGAATTATCTCACTGATACTGTGATCAGCACTGAGAGGGGAAATGTTTGATCCTACGTGATATCATCGTTATCGCACCATTCACTTTGTTTCTTATATACAAGTTGTTCGTGCGACATTCAATAAAAAGTATACGTTGTTATGAGTATATACGATAGGATGAGTACGAAATAAAATATTAATGTTTATCAGATGAACGTTTACCTACCCTACAGGTACCTATAATTTTTCTGGACTTCCCCTTTTTTGTTTTTGTTCCTTTATAATATAGCTCTTTACAAAATCATAAGTCCACATCAAATTTTTAAATTTCAGTATTTTTGAATGAATAAATAATTGTAAGCCTTTTAGAATATTAAAATATTTATCACTTTTTAAAATTTTTATTTTTGCCATGAACAATATTGTTTAAACTTATTCACATAATTAAGATACATTATGTATTGATAATGATCGTTGCTTCCAATTAATACATTTCGTAAACAGAAACAATATTTATAGTTATCAGGTACTTCTGATGAATTATACTATTTGTGACAGATATAGATTTAGATTTATATAAATTAAATAAAAAATTAAAAATAAATTTCAAAAACAATTTGCAATTCTAATTGTTAGTACTGTCTGTAGAACTGAGAGATGAGTAATTAAAAGAATCCTAAGAACTAATACGTTTAAATAGAAATATAATAAATATTTAACTCAGCTTAAGAAGTTTCAAACTTATATTATTTATTAATTAAAATTATAGGTGACACATATTTATAGATTCCTTAATACTTAGCATTTTTATTTAAAATTAATTACAAAACTGATATCCAAAAATATTTAATTAATTGCATTCTATTTTTGTTCATCTTTTAATTCCTAGCTTTCTATACACAGTGGCAGTGATTTCAATGTACAATTTATTAAATACATATATTAAAATGATAAACACCACAAAATAAAATATAAATATTTGAATTTTCAGGTATAACAAATGCTATTATTGCATGGAAACATTTCACCAGACAGTTGTTATTAATTTTTAATAATCATGATCAAAGTTGATGACTGAATTCTTAGGAATGTCAATATATAACAACACTCTTGTCAAAATCACATCCAGTGGTTATTCAGGATCCTCTCGTTCTACTGTAGATTCTCTACGACCACCTCTGGGTTCTCTTCGAAGTTCTCGAATGACAATTGACCTACTTGAACCGATTGGTTCAACCTCTGAGTCTTCATCGTCGCTCGAATGTCCGTCGTAAAGCGTTCGTCTACGTTTCTTTTTTCTTGCGCTCGGTGTTTGCGGCCTGGGTCGCACTCTTCCGTTTCCGGTATCATTGGAATCGCTCATCACGCTGTGCCTTCTGTTGGTACGAGTCGTAGAGGATCTAAAATTCCTTTGTCCCGATGGTAGTTCACTTCCACTGTTACCGATCGAGCTGTTCCTTTCTCTTCTGATTCTTTCTTGTCGTCGTTCTTCTCTTCGAAGCAAGTCATCCTCACTGTGAATTCTTTTCTTTGGTCTCCTGGATCTTCGTTGCTTCACCCTTATATTATCAGCTGAACTCATCATACGTATCGTTGATGTATCTACCGAGATTTCATCCAAATTATCCAAAGAACGTGCCAGACGTGGCATCTGCACTGCTTCCTCGTAACTAGGTGGTCCTATTAATTCTAATGGATGGATTCTTGGCTCTGGAGCACGCTCAACCCGTTCTTCTTCTTGTACAATTTGATGGATTCTGTTTGAAAAGTATTTGTTTTAGTAAATTTTAATATGAACTAGAATAAAAAATATTTGGATAAATCACAATAATATAAAAAAGTAATGAAATATGAAGTATTTAGTATCTTTTTACTTTTTAATAAAAATCATTCATTGGAATCATTGAATTTGGATCAATAGAGTTAATTGAAATTAATAGATCTAGAAAAAAATATTTCATTAATTCATAAAAATTTTGTAAAATTTCGAATACATACACAAGTAATTTGAAATTGTTGTTTGTATTCAAAAATTGAAAAATTTCAGAAATTATTTTAAACAAAGTTTGAGTTATAATTTTAATTAGCTTAGTGTTATGCTATAAAGATAAAGTAGATTTCTGTATTATTCATTGTTAATAATCATCCAAATTGTAGGTATTTATTATTATTAAAATTAGGGCATTTTTTCTAGAATAAATGAAAAGTATTCTTATCATTGTTCTAAATGGAGAAAAATCATTAAAAGAATTGTTTGATGCTCTTAAAATGTTGCATACTTTTTTTGACAGAAAGTCATAATAAAAATCATCTACCATTCAAGAGATTTATTAAAAAATTCTTCTTAAATTAAAATATATTTTTTTTACCTTCTTCGTCTTAATAATCTCAATGTTTCCAATTGCTGTCTTTGTTCCATGGCTCTTCTTTTAACTCTCATCATGTGTCTAATGGACACAAAACTACCCAACAAAACGATGACCGTAAGACCAGAGACCACTATAAATCCCCATGTTCTGTCAACGTTGTGATACAAAGGGGAACTCCAATCATCGAAACAGGCACTTTTCCAAGTATAACCAGACACGTTTGCTGGACTCTGACATATTAAACTCGTTTCTGATGTTTTAGCAGGTGATTCCGTTAAGAAACTGTACATAATAAATAATTCCTTGCAATCGCAACGCCATGGATTATCCTCCAATTTAATGCTATCTAAATTTGGATTGTTTTGAAACATATCTGGGTCTAGTGCTCCTGTTAAACGATTCCCTAAAAATTAAACGAACATTTTATAATTAAAAATGACTCATTATTAAATTTAAATAGTTAAGTATAACATCTGTTTACAGAAGTCATCTAATATTAAATAATTTCAAAAGTATTTTTACTGCCGATAGGTGCCATTTCATTTCTGAGACTGATAGATAAGAAGAATTTTAAAGTTCAATATTTTGAAAAAATAATAATAATAAAAAATAAAGGTACAATAAGTAATTTGGCCATACTATTGAAAGGGTTAAGCCTTTGATAAACAATATTTCGACAGAATAATAAAGATCAAACCTGATAACTCAATTCTTATAAGCTGAGGCAACTGAAGAAAAGTGTCATTGTCCACTTCCATTATCCTATTTCCATGTAATCCTAGATTCTTCAAGGTTGTGGATTTCAGTGTAGATGGTATCCTCTCTAATCTGTTATCACTCAAATTGATACTTCTTATTTTTGGCATATTCGATAAAAAATTATCAACAAGCTTAACGATGCCATTCGATGACGCGTCCAACGACGTTACAGACGACGTAAAATTTGGCAATTCGTATAAGTTATTAAAAGATAAATTGAGCGATTTCAATTCTACGTTTTCGTGAAACGTCAGTGGATGAATCATTTCGATGCTGTTTGCTGACAAATCTAGTACTTGCAGCTTCACTAGACCATCGAAAGTACTCGTATTCAGACTTGCGATACCGTTCGAATTTAGATATAAAAATCCAAGTTCTCTGTTTTTAGCGAAAATTCGACCGGGTAACATGCAAATCCTGTTACGGGATAATCGGGCGTGGGTCAAAAACGGCAATCCGTGAAGTCCGGGTCTGTCTAAATTGCATCCTGAAACGTCGAGTTTCTTTAGCTTTGTATGCTGTAGCGTTGAGTGTCTGAAAATATCGATTTTATTTATTAACGTAAATGTCATATGCAATTTTGTACACTAACAATTTTTTTTAAATTTTATTAATTTTATTAATTATTAATTGTATTAATTTCAGTTGGAACACCCACAGATATGGATCATAATTGACTTAGCTCCACCCTTTGAGGGTTAAATTACAACATTCCTTTTCGAATGTATGGTAATTTATAAATTGTTTGAGAGCTTTTGAATACCTAAGAGTAGTAAACAATAATGTAATAAATACTAACAATAAGTTGCAAATTATTTTAAGTAGTGAATATTTACAAATTTGCAATTCAAAATATTAGAATTACCAAGAGTAGATTTTTTCTTAATTCCGTGATTCATTCGTTTTCATTGTAATTAAATGTGTGCTATGGCAAGATTATTATTTTTAATATTTAGAAAAGGAAAATGATTTCTATTTGGAGTTTCAATTGCTTGCCTCATACTGTAAACTAATGTAGGATTATTGGCCAGTTTTAATTCTTCAAGTTCCGGGAACCCTTCGAATGTATCCGGCCTCAAGTAATTCAGATGACAGTCAGATGCATCAAGCCATCGTAATTTTGGATTCCATGGGTTTTGAATGAGTTTCAAAGGATTTCCAGTTAGGCTTAACGTACTCAGCTCTGGTAAACCGTCTAATGATGTATTACTAAGTTCTCTTATTCCTGTTGAATGAAGATAATGAAATTAATATTTTTTATTTATAATAAATCTTTTCCTTTGAATTTCAAGGATGAACTGAATTGCATAAGCGAGGCATATCCTTTATTACTAGGATTAAGAATTTGGATAAGTATAAAGATGCTACTTAACATTTAACTACCATAGTTTAAACATAACATGTAGAATGTAATAAGTAATACTGTTTTATAATTTGATGTTTCAGGTATTGATTAAAGTATTTCTTACAACTTTTCTGTCAACAGGAGAAACATTAAGTAATATAAATTAATGCTTGTTTTTGGATGGAAAAAGTATAATTAAATCTGTACTTAAGGATTAAGATGTTAAAGAAATGTATTTTTGCTATAGGGATAGCAGCTACTGTTGAAAATTTTAAGAAAATACTAGGATAATAAATATTTTAATGTGATAAATAAGCGAAAGGAGTAAGAAACACCTATAAATTATGAAAATATTAATTTTAGTAAAATATTATCATCATACCACACTGACTAGCGTCTAAAGCTTCAAGGCTACTACTTCTAAGACCTTCCAAACTAGACAATGGATTTTTCGACAAATATGCCACCATTAAAGATGGTAATTGTTCTATAGAACTAATATCAAGAATCCTGTGTATTTCATTGCCACTTAAATCCAATCTCCGTAAATTTCTTAAGGAACTCAAATCATCAGGTAACGAACTTAATTTATTCCTTGCTAAATTTAAATATTGCAACTCTGTCAGTCGATTAACGTCACTGCTGACATTCGTCAACAAATTATTTGATAAGTTTAACTGCTCCACCTAAAAAAAAAAATAAGAAAGATGATTTATTTAACAAAATAACAAACAAATGAATATAAAATTAATATCATGAAACGTCTAATTCTTGGAGATCGAAAATATATTATTTCCATGATAGTACAATACTTTTCTATTATCAACAAAACATGTACAAACAAATAATTAATTCCGCTTTTTCGATATCGTGTGCTGGGTCATTAACACCTATTAAACGTTGCAGCACAGGGGGACCGATTCTTTCCTTTTTCACTTATAATATTATAAATATTTATTTCTAATATATATAATACTAAATAAGTGATGATAATAATACAGAAGAAGAAACGCAACTTTCTCAATTAATATATAAAATGATAATAATTATTCTAAAATTGCTCATTACACAAAATTACACATTGTTGAGGAGTACTAAATAAATATAACATTGTCTAAGATATCTGTTATACGTTTCATTTTTTTCGTAATACCGGTTCATTTATACAGGTGATTCATTCCTAGCTACGTTTTCAACGAGCAACGTGATAAAGCAGAGACAATGTTAGCTCTAAGAACGTTCAAACTTGTGAAAATTACTATTATCAGACGGTAATCATTAATGGGTCCTATAGAATACATTTACTAACCACGTCACTGATATTTTCAGGAAACACTTCCAAGCCTTGCCTCGAACACACTATACTCCTTGGTAATTGGCTGAGGTAACACAAGCATCTTGTAGGACAATTATTTTGGCATAATGCAATGGAGATGATTCCCAAGTATAAAGTCAAGAATGATAGCGAACCACGAAGCGTGATAACCCGGTATTTCATGATCTTAAATGTCGTACGTGATTGCGTTGAATTCCACAGAAATCACATTTTTACCACGCAGAGAGATGAGTATCAATCTCAACAGAACCACTGTGTACTTTTTTTAATACATTTTTGTTTATTCATTTTGTGTGCTTTTTTATAGGGAAGACAATTTGTAGAAAAATATGGTACTCGTGGATCGATGAGTGGCTCAACAGTACACCGAACCGTCCTGAAAACTACTGAGTACTTATCTTTGATAAGTAACGTGGGATATGCCGTATGATATCTCTGCAAGATAAGTCGAGCGTACGATGAGGTGAGGGTATTATTCTCTGCGATAGATGAAAAAAACTGAATAAACCTGCCGAGAATTGTACCTGTGGCCGAGAAACTGGCACCACCATTTGTATTCAGGTGTTTCATTTCATGAAATATCTGAGAAAATACAACAAGGATAAAATTAGAAATCTTTAGAGCTGATATGTTTTATGAAATCTATTTAAATTTGTTTTACGAAAGTAAAAATTATTAATTTTATTTTTAATAAAGTTTCTATATTTTCAGTTGCTCCGTAAGTTTATAGAAAATGTGAAAAGACATAAACAACTTTTTGCATTAAGGGGAGGTCTAAGAAGGTTCCAAACCAAGGCCCCACTTTCCTGGGAGTTTTGTGGTAAACCATCCCCTTATTATGTCAAATAATATTGAATTAAGTTTTTTTATTATTTCTTTACAATTATGTGTTATTTAATTTTATTTGGAAATAATTTCAATTTTTGAATTAAGTTTATCTTCCAAGGGGGCCTTGGAAAGTTTGATAGCCCGAGGCCTCAGAAATCTTAATCCAATCCTGACTTTTTGTATACATTTTATGTTTTATAGCATGAATATGATATCTTAAATAATTCATTCTATACTCTTTTATTATTTATAAATTCTAAAGTAAGATATAATATTTGTAATTCTTTTTTTAATCTTTTATTTATTTGAAGAAATCATTTGCAACATGTAGGGAAAATACAGTTTTCCATGCGAAATGCTGGCGACTAAAATTTGAATGGTGCAATCCAGTGGAAAATATAAGACATTAGATAAGTACGTGAAGTATCCGAAAAGCCGATATTGAGGCGGCCATCTCCTCGTTTTAAGTCGCTCTTGGCTGACCCATGCGGATATTTCCCCTTTCCCCCATTACTATCGTTGTATTACAACCTTTTTTATCGTCTTCTAAATCCACCAGGTCGCTGTCGAAGCTCTCCCATAGGATGGAACATTTATTGTAAACCAGAATTATATTTACGATTCTTAAAACCTCGATATTAATGAATACTATAAAATAGTTACATGATCTATATAATTTTTATATTATGAATCTGTTATCAAGGAGTTCAAGTTATTTATTAACAGGTTTTATAAATTAGGTTTGACCAAAAGGAGCTTACGTTGCACGCAAATGTACACTGTACTACATATAAGTAATGGTGTAATTAAAATTTTTTTCGGGGGTAGGCCAGGTCTCTTAGAAATTAAAAAATTGTTAAGTATCAGAATTTGAGAATCTTAGAATAGTGAGGGAGCCTCTTTACATTTATGGGGAACCCAAGTCCACTCTACGTCAATGCATATGAGTTAATCAAAACGACGGTTTATCAATATTTTCTCATAAGTGTGATGTGGAAATTGATAAGAACTCCTCCCTTCCTGAGAATAGATTTAAAAAAGCCTTATCCGCGCAGGACTGTGTCTCTCTCTCTTTTTTACACGTCCGGTTGGGCCAATGGGGATGATAGGTCACACCCTCGGGAGGGTGCGAGCGGTTTAGCTAGCGCCGGCGCTTAGCCAACGGCTTATCCAGTAGGGACAAGGACGCGTTGCTTCTACCTGTTGATATTAAACCAACCCCTTCGACGAGATTTTGTAAATTCGATGTTCCGTAACAAATGCATGGTCACGCCCTGTACTCACAGTTTTTATCGCATCAAGTTCACTTAATTCTATTAAATTCAAGACAGATTTTTATTAGTTATAGAATTACTAAGAAACAGAATTTAAATATCTGGTTTTCGAGCGAACGGTATCGAGCTACTGGTTATTCAAAGGTTTCTCCGTGGGTTTAATTACAACTCTGTATCGATTTTCCATTGTTGATTTTAAGTCGTAGTCAGTGGGTAATGTAGAGAGTTGTTATGATTAAAAGTCAATCGTGTTATATATTTTGTGGAATAAAAGGTTACAGCGGTTTTAAGAATAAAATAATATTTAACAACGAACTGAAGGGTAATTTGCGTAAATTGTTCACTTTTAATGGAATTGAAAAATTCTTAGTTTCTGGTTATTAATTTATTAGTCTGATGAAAAATGATCTTATGTTTATTTATATTAACTTAATTTGGTCTTTATTGCCACAGAATAAATAAACGTAGAAAATGAGAAAATGAATTATGAATAAGTAATATTTATTAAAAATACAAATATTATCTAATGAAACTTTCAACAATTTTTACATGACAATCAAAGTTTTAATAAATATATAGAACTTGAACTACTCTTAACGAAAATCCTATTTACTCCAATGACACTCAACTATACGATAATTGTACCTCCAAATGCACACGTACTTTAATACCGTAAAACCATCAAAATCATTCTCATAAAGATATTGTCTGTCGAAGGAGGAACATTCATCGTATAAACTCGCTATTGAGGCCAGCTGTACTAAATAGCTCGAGTAACAGATATAATGCTTCCACTATCTGCAGAAGGTAGACTCCCGTTGTTGGACGTCTACCCATGTACATCTCTCTCGCTCTGTATATATATTTTTAACGCCTTCATTTCCGGCCACGCTGGGATACCGGAAATAGCGGGACGATACCTCGCGGTGTTTCAGGTATTGATCAGTTCGAGGACTCGGTACCACCCACCCTTTGGAGGGTGGGGGTGCAGACTGGAAGCTTCGACCCCTGCACCTACCCCCTCCATTTTACCTTCACCGACGAGTATCGGCGCCGCTCGTGACGCCCCCATCCGCCTCCCATCCCTAACCCACCCCTTCATCCCCCTTACGACCCGGCTACCGAGCCATCGAAGACGAATCTTTAGATATCTCCGTCGTCTCCGCTCGAATCTTCGGGTTACGCTCCAGTAGGCTGTTCGGAAATAAAACGAGGACGAGTTTGCAATCGGTGTCGCTTGTACGCTTCTTCCGTCTTCCTTTAAGAAAACGTTCCAGGATTTGCCAGAGATATTTCGTTGGCTACTTAATTAGATATTTGCTTTCTGCATATCAAATGATGATTTGGTAGCAGTAAAAGTCTGGCATGATTTCATGACATAAAAGTATAGTGAAATGATACCTGGATAGTATTAGTTTGAAGGTTGAAATTTAATGAAAATGATCATGCAAATGTTTCATGAATATTTGTAACACAAAATGGTTTGTTTTTAGTTATAACAAGTAATAGATTGCGTGTAGTGAAATTATAATCTATTTCCAGAGGGGATCCTGACATGATTTCATGACATAAAAGTTTCACAAAAATGCACAAACAATATTAATATTCTTAATAGAACATGAGTAATTATAACAAGTAATATATTAAAATGAAATTCATATTTTGTTCCTTTATAAACTACAAATCTATCATATAACTATGTTGCTCATTATCTCATAATTAACATAAGCAATTTATCACAAACTTCTTACAGTTCTATAAACCAGCACTTCCTTTCATAAAATCACATAAAACGTTAATCTTTTTAGAAGGAACTTTCGTAAGTTACTTCATCATCATCACTTGTATTAGAAACGGAACGAGATGTTTGTTCGGAGGTTTATACAGTCGAGTTGTGAGATTTCAATGTGATTTTATTTTCCCTAAAGTTACCCCCGCCTAACAGTGGCCTAAGCTTGGTTATAAATAACAGCTTATCTTTTGTCGGCTTCAACGCCACCGCGATTCTGTACAAAGCCAAACTCTGTTCCTCCGGTCGACCCTTCTACCACCTTTTATGCCTTGTAAGGGGTCGCGTGAAAGAAGACGTCTTTCGGAACGTGCACCCGTAATTGCTGTGGCATGTATCTGAATTAAATCCAGTGGTTTGTCGCGGTCTTTCCGCATCGTCGAATATCCGTTGCAAGCACTGATCTACAATATAGTATTCTGAATCTCGCTTTATCAGACAATTCATTTGCTTTGGTTGAACATACACTGTTATACACAATTGAAATGTGAAATTCCAATGGTGAATTGTGAATTTGTTTATTTGTGTAATATAGTTTCAGTACAGATATTTTTGTCCAAAAATGAGTTAATAATAATCTCAGAAATACTAAAGGATGCTTGTCGAGCTCACCAATTAGAAAACATTGAAAATTGTTTTTTCAGTCATCTAGAAAATTTTCAAAAAATTGTATATTTTCGCTTATATTTTTAAGATTCGTTCTAAAGAAATTAATTCTGGTAAAAAAATTATCGCCAAAAAAAAATGGAATTAAAATTAGAATTAATTGGTCACATAGGAAGCTTCACCTTTCTAAAGTTAAATCTTTATTTTCTCTGCACTGATTTCTTTTCCTTTACTATTCCAGAAAATATTCTTTCTTTATCATTCCCTTGAGGATTGTACACAATATCCTCGTTTTCCACTATGTTGAAATAATTGCAGCTTGGTATAATAGTACTTTGTTTTATACCTTGATGGGAATCTGACGATGAGATGAAATTATTAATTAAATTTTCAATTTTTTACGTTTTAATAACAAAAGTGGTTTTTAATCTAACTTTTACGTGTTAGAAATTACGGGTGCCCAATACATAAGTATCTTTATCAATTCAGTAGTATGTTCTGATTATGATCAGACGTACGCCTGAAAGTAGATAACCTTACTGCGTATCTGTAGACAGAGTTGCTTAGTATTCCTATACTACTTGTAGATTAATCAGAATGTTAATTTTAAATTCAGCATTTAAACTATTTCCACTACTATTAAAATTATGAAAAAATGACATTCATAGGATACTTAACTCTCAGATTTGTTGAAATAGTGATAATGTGACTTTAATGATTTCCTAAGTTTGCAATTTTGTTTTTCCAGTATATAAAAGTCTTTTATTTAGAAATCTAAATATTCAAGAGTTAATTACCATAATATATTAATATTAAATGCATAAAATTTTCCACATAAAATTCTTATTTCCACGTTATCCACTGCCTAACGTGTTATTGCCGTACAAGTAGCTCGCTTAAGTAGA